CTCCGCCTCCTGGGTTTATGCCATTCTCCTGCCTCAGCCTCCCGAGTAGCTGGGACTACAGGCGCCCGCCACCTCGCCCGGCTAGTTTTTTTGTATTTTTTAGTAGAGACGGGGTTTCACCGTGTTCGCCAGGATGGTCTCGATCTCCTGACCTCGTGATCCGCCCGTCTCGGCCTCCCTAAGTGCTGGGATTACAGGCTTGAGCCACTATCTATTTTCTCATTTGGCAACAGCAACCCAGTTTCTCATGAGGATCCCTCTCACCCTCAGTCCCACGGCTGGTGCCCTACAGCTGAGGGTGTGGCATGTGGCTCACATATAGCTCCTTTCTCTGGCCCATATGGCTGGAGGAAAATTATGTCGCCACAGTTCTCGGGTCAATGAAACTCAGTAGAGTCTTTGCCCAGGCTGCTGTTAGAGCAGCGTGTGCTCTTATCCTCCTTGGCAGGAGGTCCGCAGCCTGGTAGCTCTCCTGCACCATAACAGGGAAGTCTGTGTGAGGATGGGCCACCACAGAGAAAATGAAGCTGAGAGGGCTGGACAGAAAGCCCCTGGTTCAAGCTGTACCTTAAGTAGACTTATCCTGGAATTTTTTTCTTGAAATTTTTTTTGGTAGAGACAGGGTCTTGCTATGTTGCCCAGGCTGGTCTCGAACTCCTGGCCTCCAAGTGATCTCCCCACCTCAGCCTCCCAAAGTGCTGGGATAATAGGCAAGTGTCACTGTACCTGGCCTATCCTGGGACTTTTCAATGACTTACTTGAGCAAATAGATTCCCAGTCTCCCCCAAATCCCACACCAGTTCAGAAGGGATTTTCTGTCCTTTATAAGAGAAACATTAAACGGAACCTTTCCCTGTAGTTTCTGTGGAGGGGAAGCAGTGTATGCGGATGACTGGCTACAATGGAGGACGACTGGCTACAATGGAGGTGGCTTCCTCCCAAACACTGATCACCCTCGGGCTGGAAAACTGACCTCCGGGAAAAGTAGAGGGGAGAGGAGAGAATTACCTGCATGGGCGCTCTGCAACTGTTGCAACAGAATGCTTTCCACCTGGGGCCTGCAGCCATCCTGTGTGCCTCAGTCTGACAAGCTGGACAGGTGCAGTCAAAGAAGTACTGAGACCTCAGCTTCTGCTGCCTTTCGGCAACCCCCATCCGGCTCTTGTGAGGCCCTGGAGGGAGATCACCCTCAGCCAATATTGAAAGCAAGAGAGAGTCAAACACGACTTAAAAACCTTCAGCTTAGCGGAGGGTCTGGACAATTACTTATCATGTGACAGCTAGCCTTTACTCAGACATTTGTGGAACTGGATACTAAAAGAAGCTTCCAAGTTGCTGAGACAGGAAGAAAGAGAAGCCAAGAAGTTGTTCCTAGCCCATTTTCAGAACAGGAAATACATAGTGATTAAACAGAGCAAGACATAGTTTAGCCACAAGAGAGCCCTCGTATGAAGGCCCTCCCTTCCTCCCTCCCTCCCTTCCTCCCTCCCTCC